GATGTTATGGAGACGAAGGGTCCAGCCACTTCGGAATCGAAGTTGGTAAGTTCCAACCCCTAGCACATCTTCTGATGCGCAATTCCCCATGAAGATCTTTTGACTTCCAACCGGCAAAGTTTGATGCTCAGCGAACCATTCTCGATCCCTTGTTATATGCCTTGTCGCTTCTAAATCTACAATCCACCTAGTAAATTGTGAATGAGCAACAAGCACTTGAGTGCAAACATTTGCTTAGCTAGGAAAATCAGTTCATACCTTTCTATGTTCAAGACATTTGCATGCATAGTGACCCCTCTTCTCTCAATTGTAGTAAGTTATTTCAGATTTATCCCTTGTGTGCCTCCCACATCTATGCCTCGCCTTTTCCTTTTCCTCCGCCTCTTGCTTAGGTTACTCCTTCTTTTAATGTGCCCCATTCCTAAACTTACCTCGAGGCCGAGTTAATTGGGTAACTAGAACGGTTCTAGCTTTAGAAGATGAGCGAAACTCAGCCTCTATTTCAAGGTGATGAGAAAGTTGGGAAAACGTTTTTTCAGCTTCATTATGCAGCATCAAGGACTTTATATTTTCCCAAGATTCTGGAAGAGACCTAAGCAATCCGAGCATCTGTTGCTCGTGACTGAGTTTATTTCCAATTGCCTCTAGGTCACATATTATTTGAGACATTTTTTTGACATGGTCTGTCATCGACATATTTGGAGGGATTGTGTATGTCTTAAAAGCCATAGATAAGGCTCATAACCGAGCAGTGGAAGTGTCAGCATACTTCTGCTGAAGCACATCTCACATGGCCTTTGCCATGGTGAATCCCTCGAATTCATGAATGAGGTTATCAACCATAGCACTTAGCAAAGTAAAACGAGTTTTATGGTCAGCATTGTTCCATGCTTGATACTCACGGCGAAGTTTTTTTGCAGCACCTTGTTCAGGTTTTTGTTTAATGGTAGTTTGGTGTTCAAGTATACCTTGTTCATTTTGAAGGTATTGCATTTTCTTATGCCACATAGGAAATTGCTCCCACTCAACTTTTCACCTTTAGTGAGATTTGCGATCACATTTTTAGAAGTCATTCTAAGTCTAAACAACAAAATTGCATCAATTAATATGGATGTCTTATAGTTTGTTTGATACATGATGGCACTTAGATTATCATTTTTACGCTTTTTAATTGTCTACTTGAAAAAAAACTGACCCTTAAAAGTCTTGATATGAAAATTTTGCTTGACCACGTTGTACTCTTGATTGTAATCAATACCAAATTTCTTTTTTGGATCTAGCATCTCAAATACCTCACAATTTGCAAGTAGTGCACCTTCCTAGATGCACTCCCACTAAAAAAAATGCATTTTTATACAGCCTTAAAATGCCAAAAAAGTGAGTAGGGCTCACCATGCACGACTTAGCATATGAGGCCTATCAAGATTAGTTAGCCATGATGCTCATGGTCTAGGATACCTCATCTTACATAACCCATGTATAAGGCCAACAGAACTATGTGGTTGGTACATAAGGTTATGTAGTGCACATGTTTATGGTCTTAAAATAACCATCATGTGCACTTTGCAACATCATAGGCCAACCATAGCCAAGCCTTCACAAGTATGGCGAAAACGATAATGCGAGCACAATCGGGAACCCAGTTCCACGATGGCTTCAATACTAATGTTAGAAAAAATGCGGTTCAACGACCGAATCGAAAACAAAATAAAACAACCGAAAATCGAGTATCATACCTGAGTGCTCGCACAACAATTTTGATGAACGTTTGTGAAGAGGATTGATCAACTTCTGTAAGCATGTTCGACAACTACTAGAGCTATCGAAATTTGTTTTACACAACAAATCCCAAGCGAGTTGGAAGCTCACAAGCACTCTGACAGAATGCGATAGGAGCAGTCCTAGCTCGACTCTCACACACAACTCTATCTCTCAAGGCTGGTTCTTTCCTTAGAACTCGAATGGGAGAGGGATTTTACTCACTCTCTCTCATAATAGGGGCTCTCACACCTTTCTCGTATGTGTGTTGTGGTATATATAGAGACCTCCACACCTCTTCCTTTTATAATGAGAGTCTCTTTCATGAGGAAGTAACCTCCTCATGAATGGGCACCCTTATGGTGCATGGTGCATACCATTCATGGGAGGGTAACCCCCTCATGAAGATGTGCAACCTCTCTCCACCTCCCTTCATATTGTAACGTATTGTCCAACATGAAGGGAGTGTGGTCCATTTGGGTGTTCCCTCACACTAGGGATGCACCATCATGTCTACAACTAGGTCACATAGAATATCCTTTTCAGCTACCAAAGGGTTAATGAATAGGTAGGTCCTTCACAAATTCACCCCGCTTCAAACTCTTTTAGCCCAAGTACAACTATCATAAACTAGGCCTGAAATAACTCGGCCTTCTCTTGTGGGCCTGAACAGGGAATGGACACTCTAAGTTCCCATCCATTCATGCACAATGGTTTACTTTACTTAATATGAGAAATATTTTGCGGGTTATGCCCCCAACCTTTTCATTGTTCTTTCATTAATGGCTCTGTCCTCCACTTCATGATATTGGCAATCCTTGCTAACTGCTACTATTTGGATTTGGTAGAAAGAACACAATATAGCTGACCCTTGGGAAAAAACTTTGATGATGATGAGAAAGAATGCAATAAGAAAATTTTAAAGGCACATCTACTCTCCTTATGCCGCCTTAACCATGAAGATCTGCTCTGGTATTCCTAGAAGCAACATTATTTTTTAAACCCTTGAGACTCACACTTTAGACAGTGCCAAACCTCAAAAGATCATCATGGTCCCCTTGTTGTGATGGTAAATTTAAACATCGATAGGAAGATCATCATGGTCCCCTTGTTGTGATGGTAAATTTAAACTTTGATAGGAGTTCATTAGGTAATCAAGGTCAAATAGGTATTGGACGAGTGCTCCATGACTAAGTTGGTACTCAATTGTGGTCACTTTCCGTCCCTCTTCATCCTTTTTTTCCTAACGAGAAGGTGCTTTTGCAGGGGCTCCATTTGGTCAACGACTATAGGGAGATCATCATTGAAGAGGATCCCTTAAATATCAATTGGGATAAAGGAATTCGACCCATTCCTTGGAAGGCTAGTTCTAATTTTTGATCGAATCAAAAGACCTTTCCACCTCCCTTCAAGTGCATTTTTCCCATTGTTACGGAGAGAGCAACTCAATGGCCGATGCACTGAAAGTCTTAATTATTGTTAAAAAAAAAAAAAAGGAGAAAGTAATCTGAAATTCTCTTTACGTAATTCGCATTTTACTTGTTCATATTGAAAACTTCAAAATTATATTGTGAAACATAGGTAAATATATAGAATGTTTATGTTAAAAATACAAAAAAAATTCTTAAACAATAATTTGGTAGCAGTATGTTACTTATGAAGGTAATTCGCACCTTAAACGTGCAACGCACGTTTTAGTGTACTAAAACTACATCGGGTGATCCATGGTACTCTACATTAGCGATTTTCCGAGAGAGAGCAAACGTTAGACTAGGGGTGGCAACGGGCGGACCCTAGCTATAGCCCAGCCCTACCCTCTCGCCATTTTTTGTGGCCTAAACTCCAGTATTTTAAGACTAAGCAGGCCTGTCCTGCCCGGTCTACCGTGCCCATTGCGACCCTTACATTATTTACCCCTCTCGAATCCAACGCCCTTGACCGTGATCTTGACCACCTGGACAAGCAGAGTGAGAAATACATGAAGATTTATGTTCCCACATGTGCCACCCTTTAAGGTGATGTATCAATCCCAACAAACAAAATAAAAGAAAAGGTGGTACGAGCGCTCCCTTCAAAAGCCATGACAAAATACTCCGCCACGTGTTCCATGTCTCTCTCTAACTCTCCATTTCTGGTGCTTGTGAGGACGGACGGTCAGGAAAACGTGCCACGTGCTGGGATAGCTCATCGCATCCGTCCATTATCGACTGAGGCATGTGATCCCATTAACGAGTGTTGTTGGGGCGTGGCACGACAGGCGCATGAAGGCCCAATCGCCATTAGCGGGGCCCACATTGCGCCTAGGATTCAATACGTGGTCACATCCGATAGAGGGTCGCACGTGTGGAAAACGTGGTAGAACGAAAGTAAGTGCAGCGCCATCGCCTTGCGGAGTAATTGCGCGGGGCCCATCATGTTACGTGGCGCATCTCCATCGGTTAACGTGGCATGTTTTGGATGGTTGAGGCTATAACGGTAAATTAAATGTCTCTGTCGGGTCGAAAGACGAAGAAAATGACGAAAGATACCCCGATAATCTACTGGAGTGATGAGAATCCTCTTGTTTGTAGTTAGATTCCCCAAATGCCCTCGGATTAAGACGTTATTATTCAACTGCTGGACCCCGCCGGAATTGATAAGCTTATGGAAAAATGGACACAATGGTCAATATTTGATTTTAATTTCAAGCCGTTATTTTTCCAAATGTGCGCTTGATAGGCCAACGGTTATTTATGAGATTTTTGAAGATGCATTGGATTCTTTTGCCCGTTTGCTTTTCAAAAATTAGACCTTTCACCAATGCCCATAGTGAATTTCTTTTATAAGTTGCCCACTTCATAGTATACAAGTAAGGCACACTTTTAATTTTACCAACAATTCTTTTATAAAAAAATTTATGATAGTTAGAAAATTTATATTCAATCAAATTTATAAAATTTTAAATTAAAAACAGATGCATATCGAACATATCTATACCTTTGAAAATCATAAAAATAAATGCTCCTCATATCTTGCCCGATAAGCGCTTTTCAAGACTTGAAAATTCTTTTATATCCATAAGTGGATCAATTGGAAAGTTTTTCGATTGAAGAATGTATCCTTTTTTTTTTCTTTTTTTTTGTCGTACAAAGTTGAACCTTGTTTAGTGTGGTTATTACGGCAAAGGGCTCGCCATATTTGACCCCAAGGAGTCCAAAACTCTATTTCTTAGACGTGGTGCGTCCTCAACGGTCCGCATCACCAAACGCTCCTCGCCAGTGTCCAGCCGTCCATCTAAGTCTCCTGGAATCCAACGGTTCGCATTACCCTACTCAACCACGCCATGACGTAGTGATCCCCACGAGTCATTTTCTTTAAACTAACGTTTAAATAGCTTCCCTATTCGCCAGGCATATCTAACAGGCCATGGAGGAGGAGCCCTCGAGCCCTTATCCTCAAATTCGGGTGTCGGGTTCGACACCGTGTCGTCAGAAACCGGCAGCGGAGATGACACATTGTGTCGAGACCCGGCCAGCTGAAGAGACACCGTCCCGGAAAATTGCGGCAGAGAAGGGCGGCGGGACACGGCACCCCGTCTTCAGAGGCGTTAGGAAAAGGAGATGGGGCAAATGGGTATCGGAAATCAGGGAGCCGAGGAAGAAGTCTAGGATTTGGCTTGGCTCTTTTCCGACGGCCGAGATGGCTGCTCATGCCTATGACGTGGCGGCGTTAAACCTGAAAGGACGGAAAGCTGCCCTCAACTTTCCCGAAAATGCAGATACGCTGCCCCGCCTAGCGACGTGTTCGGCTAGAGACATTCAGGCGGCGGCCGCAGCAGCGGCAGCAGCGGCGGAGAGTTGCAGCGAAGCCGAAATTTCGCCGAAATCTGAGGTGTCGACCGCGGGTACGGAGGATGATTTCTGGGGGGAGCTGCCTGCATTGTGGAAGAACGGGGAGATATTCTCGGCGCCTGAAATCTCGGATTTCGTTTCGGAGTTCTTCGGGGAGGGTTTCATTTCGGGGATTTGCGGCGCAACCGAGGGGGATTCGGCGGCGCAGCTTGTTCCTCCCGCTTGTTGCGGGCTCCTCCGCGCCTCCTCGCCTCCCCTCCGATGACGTCATCAGGTCAGCTTTATTCGTCTAGTTCTTCTATTGGCAGTCCTGTTTTCTGCTATCTCCACCTGTCTTCTCTGGGTGGAGATAGCAAAAACGAAGGTCCAAATAGCATAAGCCAATCCCTTACTCTATTTTGGTTGTGAAGTATGGCCAATTCACCATTGAAAAAAATTAAGGACGGTGAGATTTGGATGACTTCGTTTGGCTTGGAGAAATGCGTTCCGTACTATCACTACACCTGTCACTGTAAATTGGATGGACGGGTAGGATTTGTGGCGTAACTGTGTATGGCTCATCTGGTAGTACTTTACTCTTTTGTGGATCAGTAGTCACTACCATATTTGTTTTCATTGCCGTTTTTTGTTAAAATTTGTGTATTGGTTAACTTTGGGTTCCATGTATATTCCTCATCGGTGAAGTTATTTTTGGAAGTTTACGTGGGCTGAATTTGACCCCTATTTTGACGTTTTTTTGGGCTTGGCGATATTCCTCAATCCGAATTCAGGGCTTTCAAAGCCATGTGGCGTTAACTCGTTAAAGGAAATCTCAAAAGATCTTGAAGTTGCCCAAAGCTTTTTCTATATTGACCACCGCGCCCCACACAGTTATTGCTCATCGTTGAGCTTGTGCCTTGGTGGCAAGTCTCTAATAAGGGTGGCGACGGGCTGGGCGATTATAGGGGTGGCAACAGGTCGGGTCCGGCTGGACCTGGACCCAGACCCAAATAGTACTCATGTCCAGGTTTTGGATTCAGATCCGACCCATTGGGTCGCCAAACTTGTACACGTTGGGTCCCTTTTATTATCATCATACATCCACCTTATTGACAACAAGGTTACAATCACCCAAACGATTTATCTTTTTACTAGAAAAAGATGATTAGGAGTTATTTTTGTATACTATCTTTAATACACCCAAAAAAATAGGGCTTGAAGTATTTTATCTTCAATAGTTTACGAGTGCGGGTCAGGTCCAACTGGACTTGTACCAAAACTTAAATAGTATTCGGGTCTAAGTTTTGGACCCAAACCCGACCAATCGAGTCTAAATATTATACCCATATTAAGACCCCGGTCGTTAGATATACCCGACGGATCCCAAGTGATGTCCGGGTCTATTGCCACCCATATGGGCGAAGCCATTGTCGAAATAGGGCCCAACCCTATTAGGTCCTGGCTAGGTCCAAATAAATGAAATCTTTTTAAAAATTAGGCAGGTTGTCACTGGTCGTAGGCCAGCTCTCATGCTATAATTTCTGTCTAGGCCATACTTTTTAAGAACCAGGATATACTTTTTTAAGGCGACGACAAGCCCTGCAAATGGACACATCTTCTATCTCACTGCAGTATATGTCTCTCTCTTCTTCCCCTCTCAAACTCCATTCTCTCTCTCCCTACGGAGTACAATCACTTCTACATATTTAAGAAAGATGGATGTAAGTAGGTGCCCTATCTAAAACGGTCCAAATATTTTCTTACGAGAATTCTTATTTTTTATTTTTTAAAATTTATTTATTTTATCATATTCATGTTCTCTATGTTAGAAATTAGATGTTTTTAATAATTAAATCTTCAAATACATCTCAAAAATAGATTTATAAAGAGGCCTGTATGCAGGCTTGGCTACATAGAAACCGGATCCTTAGCCCACTATTAGTTGGTTTAGATTTTTTTTAGGCATTTTCTTCTTTGAATGTGTACATAATAAATAGTAGGAAAAGTTTATATAGAGTCCAAGCTCTGAACGATCAAGTTGGAGCCTCCCACAAAAAATTCACTAAAAGAGGTTGTTTTGGTGTTCAAATATCATTAAATTAACCATCTCGACATCAAGATATATGGACATAAGAAAAGAATGGATTTCAAGTTTTGGAAATAATGTATTGTATAACACATTTTTGGATCGTCAATTTTCAAGTTTTCATATATCTGTTGATATACACTATTTTTTAAGCTCTAAACTTTATAAATAAAGATATTGAAACATTTCTCGATACTATTTGAAGATGGGTAGGGTCTAATTTGATTGTTTAGTGCCAAGGCTCTATACAAACCTCACCCATAAATAATCTTCAAAACAGAGTCCCTTCAGATTCTTTTGGGTATCTCATCCGCAATAAATAATATTCAAAAGACAGTTACATTTTCATCTTCTTTATTCATTGGAAGATCAACCTTGATATCATTTAGAATACAAACAATATGTGGAATGTAGCATCAACTGTCAGCTGCCAAAGACCGGCGGTTGAGAATATGCGATGAATTATTTCCTACCCCTCAAGTCTCTTATTTTTTAAATAAAGACGCGTGCTGCAGACGGGTTCATCTCAACAATGAACGGTTGAGGTTAAATCTAAGCAAAGAGTTTCTATGAGTATTGATATCATTATATCATGATAAGAGGAAAAATTATATATACCCCTTTGCCATACGATCTGTTCCACCTTAATACATTTTAAACCGCATAACTAACCTAATTATTGTTTGTTTTTGCAGCCATCCCTAGGGAAGAACACATTTTATTTTCGATGAAAATCCCCCATGTATAAACCCACAAATCTCTCTCTGCACAAATCTCTCTCTAAAACTTGAAATTTTAAAGAAAGAATATCTCAAAAAATTTAAAGAGAGAATGTAACTCAAATTTTTAGTTAGAAAACGAGGGAAAAATTAATTTTTATGATTTTTTATACTGATTATATTATACTAATTATCATTTTTGTGTGTGATTTTTTCTCACACAAAAATTGGGCCTCTCTTTCTTGCTTTCTCCTACATACACACACATGTAAAGCACATTGGATATCTCTCCATACACATATACAAATATACAAAAATATTGGACTTCTCTCTCTTTACACACATACAAATATACAAACATATTCGTCATGGGAAAGGTGTCTATACTTCTCCTACAGTATAGAAGATCTATGCTTCTCCTACCATCCAGCCGTCCAATTTTGATCAAGAGAGCTGCTCACCGTTTGATCTGAGATCCGACGTCTCAAAGTATTTTATTTTTAGTTTTTTTATACAAATTGTATGAATATAAAATTTGGTACATGCCATCTTCTCATTGGATCGCATCAACAAAAAATATTAAAAATAAAATTTTGATAAAATATAATGAACAAAATACCCCTTGAATCTTTTAGGGATATTTTGATCATTTTATTTTATTAAATTTTTTTTATATATATTTTTCGCTAGTGCGAGTTTAATAGAGAATTGGACGTATAAAATTCGCATCAAAACAATTTATAGAAAAAAATAAAAACTAAAATAGTGTAGAGATGTGACATTGTGATTGAAGCAATCTTAGCCCTCCATCATAATGAACAGTTGGATAAGGGGAAGTATATAAGTTTATGTTGTAAGCGAAACATAAAAAGCTTACCCGTTTCACATCTCTCAGACACACGTACACAAACATTGAGCATGTCTCTCTCTTTATCTCTCTCACATACACAAAAAAGAAACATTGGATAGCTCTCTCTCTCACACAAATACATTGGACAACTATTTCTCTCTTATAGGTTCCATTTTGGTTCAAGGCTATCATTTTTTTTCTTCATTTAAATAAAAATCCATATTTAGAGTAGTAATCTATTCCGTGGAATTATTCTACTATAATATGCTATAAAAATTTTCTCATGTCCAAATGTTTTCTTAATATAATTATTGTTTTAGTTCTCAAAAAATTTTTCATTTCATATTCATGAACTCCATATTAAAGATTATATATTCTCTAAAAATGTAGTAGTGGGGTCATAGAGGTGAATTAAAAATGTAAAAAATATTAAAAATAAAAAATATAATAAACAAAAAAATTAATGAAACTGGGCCAACGCTTTATAAAACAACCCAGTTTTCGATAGATATACAGGGCCAAGCAGATTCCCGGGTCGGATCATCATACAGACCCTGATCCGTGTTTAGAACCTAGACGGGTTGTTGAAGCTCAGGCTACCTTTACGACCACACTCCCATTCCCAAAGAATAAAGTTCTATAAGTAGGCCCAACCAACATTGAATGGCAAAAAAGGTCTCTTTGTGCTACTCTTACAGGTTCACTTTTGGGACTCATGGGGTTTACGCTTTATGAGAAATTATTGATTGCCCCCCTTTTTAAAGTTACAAATGGCTGCAAAAATCTTACTTTCTTATTGTGGTAGTGGGCCATAAGAGGAGTGTCTCACATTATTTGGGTGGCCGTGATCCATACTGTGCCTCCTTTTGAGTTATTGCTAGTAGTATGCAACTTCTCAAGTGACACCCAATGAAAAAGCACTTGCACTGCAAGATATATGAGTAAACATCTGGTGTGGTGAGGCCGTCATTATTATCATTATTTTATTTTTATTTATTTATTTTATTTTTATTTTTATTTAATAATTCAATAGGGAAGACATGCCCATACTCTTTTTTCAAGTAGATTAAAAGTTAGCTTTTTTAAATATGTTATTGTGATGATGTTAGCGGTGGGAATGGAAACCACAATGTATATTAAAAAGTTTATTTTGGGATTTTTAACTGTCTTTTGCACCATGCGGTCTAATATTTCTCCACTGGAAGGTATTGCTTAAATCTTTTATTTTGAATATTCCATTCTAATAAACTCTGGAGAAGGACCGGTGAAAAGATTAAGTATCATAGCGATGTCCATATTTTGGTTAGTATATTATTATTATTTTAGTATTTTCCTTCTTAATTTACCTTTGTTATTTTGTGATCGGCCAAAATACAAAAAATATAATGTACTTGGATGATTCAAAAGTCTCATTCAAACCGCTTAAAACTAAAGTCAAACTCTTGAACCGTTCAAAATATAAAACAACTAAAGTGTTTAGATGGTACGAGAGTGAATAATCTATTCTTGGTTTTTTAACCGGTTTGGATACTTCCATGATGTTTGGCTTGCTCTTGAAAGCCCCTTGAGATAGAGAAAAGCCCAAGGAGAGAAAGAGATCCCCTTGTAGATAGAGAAACCCTAGAGCTGTATTCGAAAAATTGAATTGGCCTCGAAAATCAGGATCTGAGTAACCGATGAACCGATCGGTTTGATCTAACTGGAGAGGTTCACAAGAAAGACCTATATGATCTTTTACCGGGGAAATACAAATTTTTTTTTTATAATAATAATAACCCTTTATATTTTTTTTAGCAACAAGATCACTCACAGATGGTCTTATTACAAACAATAGAAATTCCAAAATAAATAACACAACAATAGAATAAATCTCAACTACTTGATGTCATTCATACAACTTGATACTATGCTTGAGACTATAAAATAAAAAAACAAACAAATAAAAGAAAAGATGCCAGAGATTACTTCAACCGGGTTTTTTACACCCAACACCGAGTCACCACATCCAATGTCACGCGATCTGTGGTCTAGTTTCAATCTCGAACCGGGATAGCTGATTTCGGTGAAACTAGGTAACCACCCCTTAAAATATCTACTAA